AGAGATCTTCATAAATAAGTAGGACTGCTATGCAAAACAAACAAACAAAAAGATATTCCAAACTGAGGCAACAGAATGAGCAAAAGCTATTTGCTGAGGAAGAAAAAGTCAATTTGAATGGTATGGAGCTCAGTTTGGCTGGAGTTCTTGGCACATGAGAACACTGGAAGACAAAATTTTAAATGTTGATGGCACTCTATTTAAGGAAGCCATTGATTGCCAGACTATGTATTTTGTAATTTGTTGGGCAAAAGGAAGCCATTAGTGATTTTTAAAGATCTCGTTTAAAGGAAATAGATAAAGGAAGACATAGATAAATTAAGTAATAAGCCCCTGAACTAAAGTAAAAACAATGCAATTTAAAGAATAATATGATTATGAAAAATAATGCAGTTGCAGAAAGTAGTAATAATTAAGAATGTTGGTTATTAAGCACTTATGTACTATACACTATGCTAAATAAATTATATACAGTGGCTCAATTCTCACATTGAGTTTCTAAGTTAGGTACTATGATTAACAAGAAATTAAAGAATTGGAGAAGTTTAATGATACACCCAAAGTTGCACAGCTGTTAATTAAAAGAGCAAGAATTTAAACTCAGGTAATTTTGACTCCTAAACATATGTTATTTTCCCATAGTACACTATCTCCCCTTTAGGAACCAGTTTGGAAGTGGAAAATAAATAACAATGAGTCAATGCTTCCCAGACTTTGAGGCAACCTGGGAAAACATGGATGAGCTTAACAGCAATAAAGAAGTCAGGAGTAAAAACTGGTTTGAAGTTTCAAGGGATGATGATTTTTGTATAAGATACATTGATGTTTATAGTCAAATGATTTTATTTACTGAAAGTAATTTATTGAACAAATACTGAGCACTCACTTGTGTTTTCCACAGTCCTTGGTGCTGTTTTAAGGCAAGCAAACAAAATATACAAGAATCCTTATTCTCTTGGACTTTGCATTCTAGTAGGGAAAATATATGAAAACAAAATAAGTAATAATCAAAGAGTATGTTAGTTATGACTGGAAATGGGTAAAATAAATACTAAAGGAGATAGGAAGTGTTAGAGGTGAGCTGCAGTTTTAAATAGGAAGATAAGGGAAAGAAAGCCTCATGAAAATGTTCCACTTGGGTAAAGATCTAAAGGAGGTAAGGAAGTAAAGCACATACATAACTAAGTTAAAGCATTTCAGGCACAGGAAACTGCCAACTCAAATGCTTTGAGATGAAACTACTATTGGTCTATTCACCTCACAGCAAGAATGTTAAAGTTGCTGGAGCAGAGTTCAAAGGGGAGAATCATAGAAGGTGAGGTCAGAAGAGTAACCAGGGGCCAGATTGTATAGGTGACATAGGCTGTTTATTGTAAGAACTTTATTTTTTCTCTGAGTGAGATGAAAATACATTAGCAGATTTTTTATCAAAGACACAACATGATCTCACAAGATATACCATATTTCATTTTATTTTAGCACATATAAAATGTTTATTGCAGGCATTATGCAACAGTCTATAATAGCACCTATAGGTCCTGTAATAGGACCTATCTTTATGTCCTCATCCAGGATCAATTCCCAGAAATAAGAGCTTCAAGAGCAAAAATCTGTCAACATTTTAAGATGGTAAGTATCATTAGACTGCTCTTTAGTCAATCTCGGAAACTAAAACATGCACTAGAATGTATAAAATAGTGCATTTGTACACATCCTTGAAGGAAATGGATTTTGTATAAATAAGACCTATTTTAAATAAATAAAAATATTGCTTCATTTTCATAAGTTGAATTCTGAGATGATGACAAAATGTCCAAAAGGTGTTATATATTTGGGAAGAGAGCTACTGCTCAGGATTGATATGTAGATTTAAAAGCTATTGACTGTGATAGGAAAGGTGAATGTTCATTAGAGGTTACTGGATATATATTTTTTAACTTCTGATTTCTAATCATTGACATTAGCAGGTGATGATTTCTATGTATGGGCTTCTCCAGTGGCTCAGTGAATAAAGAACCCACTTTCAATGCATTTGACACAGGAGATGAAAGTTCAACTCCTGTCTTGGGAAGATCCCCTGGAGAAGGGCATGGCAACCCACTCCAGTATTCTTGTCTGGAGAATCCCATGGACAGAGGGGCCTGATGTGATACAATCCATAGGGTTGCAGAGTTGAACACGATTAAGCATACATGTACATATGACTTTTATACATAAATAGTTAAAAGGAGGTTGAAAAACCAGGGTTTGTGAATTTTTTGTCTTCCACCTAATTTTGCCTGCCATATAATCAAAGTCACTACCTGTGAAAATATTTCGAAGATATATTTCAGTTTGGGGGCTAAACAATCTAATTTTAACCATTCTTTTAGCATCAACTTTTATTCTTATAGTCGTGCTTCTCTGTGTTTTATGTGTTTTATGACACCATCTCTCTATTTCCTTATATGAGAAATCTGAAGTATTTAACCTCATCAATCTGAATGCCTAGTTCATATCATTCATCAGGATGTTTAATTAAAGTACATACCATATCTTGAACAAAATGTGCTGTTCTACTTACCAGGCAATTGAGGCAAAATAATAATAATAATTCCTTCAGGGGATGAATCAAACCTACTTCAAGCCACATGGATTTGATAATCCAAAGCAGGATGTTTTATAATTCCTATTTCATTTTTGTTCTTCCCTCCTATCTTTAAACTCAGTTACGTCCTTCTGTATTTCAGCAGCCTTGAGGTAACTATTCAGGCCCTTAAGATATAATTTGTTTTAGAACAAACTTGTGGACCTAACTGGGTCAACTTTCTGTAAATTTTGAATCTTTGTGCTGTTGTTGTCTTGCATAATTGAAAAGTGTCTTAATAACATGTGTTAATGGAAGTATTTAAAGAGAGGCTAGTTGCCCACTTATTTTTAGATATGTGGGAAATATTTGAACCAAATCAGTGGCCCCTAAATGGTGGTTCAAGGACAATTGCTGGGTTGGCTATATCTTAATAATATAGAGACCTTTTAAAAACACAAATTCCAGACCTTAAATACTGACTCAGAATTTCTGGAGGAGACACCGGGAAGTCTAAGGAAAGCTATATATTTATTTTTTAAAACTTCCCCAGGTGTGTCTGACAACCAGTGATGTTTGTGGTCTACATCAGTTCAGTTCAGTTCAGTCGCTCAGTCGTGTCCCACTCTTTGCGACCCCATGAATCACAGCACGCCAGACCTCCCTGCCCGTAACCAACTCCCAGAGTTTACTCAAAGACATGCCCATCGAGTCGGTGATGCCATCCAGCCATCTCATCCTCTGTTGTCCCCTTCTCCTCCTGCCCCCAATCCCTCCCAGCATCAGGGTCTTTTCCAATGAGTCAACTCTTCGCATGAAGTTGCCAAAGTACTGGAGTTTCAGCTGCAGCATCAGTCCTTCCAATGAACACCCAGGACTTATCTCCTTTAGGATGGACTGGTTGGATCTCCTTGCAGTCCAAAGGACTCTCAAGAGTCTTCTCCAACACCACAGTTCAAAAGCATCAGTTTTTCGGCGCTCAGCTTTCTTCACAGTCCAACTCTCACATTCATACGTGACCACTGGAAAAACCATAGCCTTGACCAGACAGACCTTAGTTGGCAAAGTGATGTCTTTACTTTTTAATATGCTGTCTAGGTTGGTCATAACTTTCCTTCCAAGGAGTAAGCATCTTTTAATTTCATGGCTGCAGTCACCATCTGTAGTGATTTTGGAGCCCCCAGAAATAAAGTCTGACACTGTTTCCACTGTCTCCCCATCTATTTGCCATGAGGTGATGGAACCAGATGCTATGATCTTAGTTTTCTGAATGTTGAGCTTTAAGCCAACTTTTTCACTCTCCTCTTTCACTTTCATCAAAAGGCTCTTTAATTCTTCTTCACTTTCTGCCATAAGGGTGGTGTCATCTGCATATCTGAGGTTATTGATATTTCTCCCAGCAATCTTGATTCCAGCTTGTGCTTCTTCCAGCCCAGCATTTCTGTGGTCTACATCAGAGCCTCTCAAATGTTAACATGCCTAAGAATTGCTTGTAGTTCTTAAATTGCTGATTGTTATGCAGCAGGTCCCTGGTGGGACTTGAGATTCTTCTGCATTTCTAATTAACTGAAGCAATGCTGATTCATGGATCATATTTTGAGTAATAAGGAGCTAGATTACCTCTCAGATTCCTTCTAGCTATACTCTCTTGTGATTCTAAAGTGCCTTATGGAACTTGTATCTATCACCCTTACTCATGTCAGAACTTTCCGTTAACGGTAATAGATTTTTCTACACATAAGCTTTTTTTGTTTTTGCAAAAACAGGATTTTTTAAATTAAATTTTATTTTAGTTAAATTTTAAAAATTAAATTATTTTTATTAGATATTTTTAAATTTATTATTTTTGCAAGACAATAATTGGCTTACTTTTTTTTTTCATTTGCAGTTCTGACTTTGTTTTCAACATATAACTGAGAAAGTCCCAGGAAGCTGACTCATCCAAGTCAATCATCTCTGAAGAGCTTTAAGCACACTGAGTACTAGAGGAAACCTTTCTTCTATGTGAGCCAAAAAAAGAGAAAAACAACCTGCCAAACACCAGTAAAGAGATGACTATCATCATATGGAAATTTGAAGAGCTTCTGTATAGCACATTCATGATCCAAATGGGAGAGGATCAACTGTCATGATGTCTCAGAAGGCCTTTTAACTGAGTAACAAGAAGGGGAAATTATAACAGCTTGTCATCTGCACTTGCACATTAGACTTCCATGTAGTTAATGTAGACAAATTCAAAGCAAACATGCAGAGAGTTATTTGAAAAGCCCCCAAATCATGTATAGAAGCTCTGACCAATGCAATAAAAAGGAGGTTATTCTATATTCAGTTTCTCCAGCCCATCGATGATCAATCTTTTAGAAAGAGCAGTAGTAGATTGTAAATTTAGATTTTTAACCACCATTTAAAAAAGGCAGCTTCTCTAGAAACAAACATGACTGCTAATGACACGTGTGCTGAGATCAGTAGAGACAATACAGATTTCCGATACTTCATCTATGCTGTGACATACACTGTTATTCTTGTGCCAGGTCTCATAGGGAACATATTAGCCTTGTGGGTATTTTATGGCTATATGAAAGAAACCAAACGGGCTGTGATATTCATGATAAACCTGGCCATTGCTGACTTACTACAAGTCCTCTCCTTGCCCCTGAGGATCTTTTACTATCTGAATCATGACTGGCCATTCGGGTCTGGCCTCTGCATGTTTTGTTTCTACCTGAAGTATGTCAACATGTATGCAAGCATCTACTTCTTGGTCTGCATCAGTGTGCGAAGATTTTGGTTTCTCCTGTACCCCTTTCGCTTCCATGACTGTAAACAGAAGTATGACCTATATATCAGCATTTCTGGCTGGTTGATAATCTGTCTTGCCTGTCTGCTATTTCCTCTCCTCAGAAGCAATGATGACACCCCTAGCCACAGAACCAAATGTTTTGTGGATCTTCCTACCAGGAATGTCAATCTAGCTCAGTCTGTTGTTATGATGACCATTGGCGAGTTGATTGGGTTTATCACTCCTCTTCTAATTGTCCTGTTTTGCACCTGGAAGACAGTTTTATCACTGCAAGATAAATATCCTGTTGCACAAGACCTTGGAGAGAAAAAGAAAGCCTTGAAGATGATTCTAACCTGTGCAGGAGTTTTCCTAATTTGCTTTGCACCTTATCACTTCAGTTTTCCTTTAGATTTCCTGGTCAAGTCCAATGAAATTAAAAGCTGCCTAGCCAGAAGGGTGATTCTAATATTTCATTCTGTTGCCTTGTGTCTTGCTAGTCTGAATTCCTGCCTTGACCCAATCATATACTATTTTACCACTGATGAGTTCAGAAGACGGCTTTCAAGACAAGATTTGCATGATAACATAAAACTCCATGCAAAATCACTTGTGAGCAACCATACCACATCTATCTTGTCAAGTGAATTATGTTAAATTTAAAAAATGGATGTGGACTGAAGTATATTAAAACATATTTGCAATACTCCAAGCTACTGGGAAGTAATCACAGCAAGCATTCCAAGACTTTCAGTTATGCTCTATCTTACCTATATGAAGATTTCACGTCTTCATAACACAATCTATTTAGAGCATTATATTCCATTATCATTGATGTTGAGGTGTCCATGTAGTAATCTGTCATCAAGTCCTTAAGATTTAACCTCTAAAATTTCAGTGACATACTATATGCACATGCTTTCAGCAGGAGTCAGTTTTATCTGTGAATCTAAGACATAGAGAGACTATTAGCTTGAACTTATTATAAGCACTTGGTTTTTTTACAACGGACACTGAATTTGTTTATATTTAGAAACAATGTAGTTGTCTATTTATACTAGTAATCACAGTTTATATCCCAATATCATATTTTAGTTGTCTTTAATTAAGTAGGATAGACAATATACTATTTTGTGAAACAGTGTTATAAGCACGGACCTTTTTTATCTCCTATATGTGATTATACTCTTGAGTTTGAAGACTCAAATAGCTATTTCCTTCATTTAAGTATCAGCATGAAAAATCATCTATCACATCTATTAACAGAGTGAAAATCTGAACTCAGGCCTCTGATATATTTAAAATAAAAACAAGAAACTAATTCACATACTCTCTATGACTGTATATTGACATATTTAATCTATCCAGGACAGGTAGCTTGTCAAAATTCATATAATGTGACCCACATTGTCATTAAAGGTCCAGGAAAAAGCAGATACAAGATAATCACAGTTCTGATTCTCTTAAACTATTTCCAGACAGCACTTCTGAAGATATATATATATATATATATATATATATATATATATATATATATATATATATATATATCTTTCAAATAAAGAAATTGTCTACTATGCTTCTAGAGTGACATTGAGGTACCTGAGAGGTTACTGCACTTTCTGAGCCTATACAAGAAGGAATGCACTAAGTTTAAGCCAGAGCAAAAAGATACAAGTTATTTTTTACTTTTAAGTGGCAACTAACAGGCCACTGTTAACATTCACAAGCCAGAGTAAGGTCTAGAGTAAGGTCTAGAGGCAGACAGGCATGTAGACTCTAGAGTCCTCAGTAATTTTTTTGGTCCAGCTTTGCTGCAGCCTCTTCCAAGGCAGCTGGGAAAGCCAATTTTTGCCCTGTTGAGAAAAGTGCAGATTAATTTTGGTGACATTGGCACCTATTAAAATGCCTTGCCTACTAATACCTGTTTAGAACTAGTACACAAGAAACAGACCCAGAATATGAGTAGTGACTAAACCCGAGGTCTTAAATATTAGAATACTTTGAAAAATATTTTGGCAAACAGCTCTAACTTTTAAAACATGCTTTAATTAAAATCTGTGCAGTATATAGCACACAGATAATTTTGGCCTGGAAGGAACATGAAAATCAAAGAAGAGCTCCATCATATTTACAGGAAAGGAGTTATTTTAGACACACAGTTATGATATTAATATGTTTGGGGGGATTAGTGAAATAAAAGTGAATTCTAGTATCTTAGATGAATGGAAAATTTTCTAATGTTTTCTCTAGACAAGTATTTATTTGCTTGTACTTTGTTATTAAAATATTATCCTGTTAGAAGACTGACTTTGTACTGCTAGCAATAGTGTATGTATCTATCTCCTAATTGTTCATTGTAAGGTACATATTTTGATGTGCTAAATGAGCTATGAAAAAATGTTAAATTGTGTTTTAAAATGAGTAACTGTAACTATGTCTAGTCTATTTGCTTTAAAGTGATTTGTGTTTCATCATAATTTGGTGTTGTAATGGGATCAGAAGTAATAATTTTGTGGGTACTTGTAATGAGAAACTTGTCTATATATGTTTACTAGTTTCTATATTATTATGAACTACACTTTTAGGGTCATTTGTGGGAGACCTCTGATTTAATTTCATTTATGTATTAATTTCACTTTAAACATACCTGTTATCTTAAAGAGGAAAAAAATATTTCCAGGAGATTACTGAAGTTCTTAGAGGAAATGTTGAGGTTAGAGCCCATTTATGAAGCAGTCCAGGAGTCCTTGAAAATTATTTATATCATTTGAGAAAAGTACAGAGAGAACAAGTGTCCAGTATTCTTATGCTGCTTAGCTAAGAACCACCCCTTCTCTTTAGGTTTGCCCATCTAAGTTTGTATTCAATGCTGTGATTTACTTTATTAACCCCCTTTCGCCATGAATATGCTTTGCCTTCTATTCCCTTGTTCTTGTCAGTAACTGATCAGTCTATTCACACTAAGGTACTAAGGACTAATGTTAGATTAATATTAATTTGCCTAGGAATATCTGAATTATAGGCCTTAGGGATGAATTTTATCTCAAAGTGTAAATATTTTGTTTCAATGGAGTGATCAAAAACACCAAAACAGACTAGAAAGAACAATATTTTGAAGAAAGTGGGTCTTACAACAGTGCCTTTCAGATTACATATGGTAAGTAAACACCTACTTTGCTTACCATGATGGGATATTTATTATACTAGTACCTGGCCTATACTAAGTTTAAGCCAGAGCAAACAGATACAAGTTATTTTTTACTTTTAAGTGGCAACTATCAGGCTACATTTACAAGCCAGAGTAAGGTTTAGAGGCAGCCAGGCATGTAGACTCTAGAGTCCTCAGTAATTTTTCTGGTCCAGCTTTGCTCCAGGCATACTATTCTAAGGCCAGCACAGCCTTCCCCAAGGCAGCTGGGACTGATTGGAGTGATTTCCATGTTATTATTATTCTCATTATTGCTATTATTATTATATTCAAATGATGTATACATTTTCATTGTCACTTGGTTAAGCAACCAATTCTATTAACCTGCAATTCCATGAAAAGGAACCATCTGCCCTATGGACAACAGAACAAACTATGTTGGTCTAAAAGGATGCATAAGTGGAACTCTTGTGCAACTTCATTTTTATGTCATCTTTTTGTTTTTATTCCCAATACACTGTGAAAATGTTGCTTTGTAATGTATTTATATTTATAATTTATAATACACATTTTCATAATAAAGATGATCTTTGTATTTGCATAAAAAATTCTGTCTCCAGAATTCCATGTATATATAGCCAGTTTTTCAGCAAACTGATGTAATTGAGAATCTTTGTCAGTGTTCTCACCTACATGGATATTAAGTTCTCTGAGGCTCTACTCTCCCTTTTCTCTCTGGAGTGTTGCATGCTATTCTCAAATGGAAAGATAAACCACTTCCCCAACCTACCTTACACGTGCCCTCCACTCTTCCCATAAACAGAATCATTACTATTTATACTCTGCTAAGATTATTCCTCATTCTCACTTGTTGACCAAGCTATTCTAATGACTTAAATACTTGTACCTGTTAGAGGATAGTCTGTTGGGAAGAAAAGGAGATGAGGGGAAAGAAGGAATGTTTTCTATTTAGTCTTAAGAATTTTTAAGACCAAATATTTTGATTTTCCTTATGTTTAGCAGAGGAAAAGCTATCATTCACTGTATCCTTCTGCTCTTACCAAAACATATTTCCATAAACATAATGAAATAAAACAAAAAGTGAAGTCAGGACAATTTTCTCTGGCTCTCCTCTCATCCTAGTTATCTTTCTTCCACTTTAGCAACTCTCTTATCTCACTATATTCTTAGTGCTTTCAGGAGGTCCAAGTGTCTTCTGAAATAACAAAGTTGTTACAAATTACACATTTTGACTGCTGCAAAAAAAATTTCCTAGAAAGTAGTAAAGGATTTCCTAAGAAGAAATTTCTGATGTTTTGGTAGACTTCAAGAACATAATAGGATTTAAATATAGGATTTGTCCACACTTTAAATGTCCTCAAATAAAGTGCATTCTTCCTATATGCCTTCCTGAAGCTAACTCAGAAGTGATCCCACTGCCTTCACTGTACCATATTTGAAGGGGAAAAAATAAAAGATGAATTCTCAAGTAAGCTGTTTCAGCTTATTTATTTCTCAACAATTAAAGGATATGATGTGTGTTTGAGGGGTGGGAGATGAACTGTAACTTTCTTGAACACAGACCATTTTTTTAGCAGTACTTCCTCACTCTTAACCACTTACTTGATTTTTCCAAGACCATATTTCCTCTACTTTTTGTTGGCTAGGTTCTCTTCATCTAACTCCTTACTGAAAATTTTCTTATTCATCTATGGGCATAGCCCTTATTTAAGGGCTTAAATTTGCCTTCTTGGATATCTTCAAGAAATATTAGAGCAACTGCTCCTTCATGGGGGTGGGCTGTAATTAGGCCTATCACTCTCACCCCAGTATCTTCCTCTCAATTTTGCTTCTGAAGCTCCTGCAAAAAAGAAGATACTGGAGTATCAGCAGAAACTCTAAGGTCAGGAGTGAGTGGAATGATATATCCAAAATGTTGAAAGATAGAAATTACCAACCAAGAAAACTTTATCTGGCAATGGTATCTTTCAGATAAGAGGAAGAAATAAATGTTTCCCTGGACAGTCAATTGCTGAGGGAGTTCACCACCACTAGACATGCCTTGCAAGAAATGTTGAAAATTCTTCAAGCTGAAATGAAAAGACACTAATCAGTGGCGGGAAAACCTGTGAAAGTACATGACACACTGGTAAAGGTGAAAGTCAGATTCAGAAAATCATAACTCTAAAAAAAAAAAAAGAAAAAGAAAATCAGAAGATGGCGGAGGAATAGGACGGGGAGACCACTTTCTCTCCTACAAATTCATCGAAAGAACATTTGAATGCTGAGCAAATTTCACAAAACAACTTCTGATCGCTAGCAGAGGACATCAGGCGCCCAGAAAAGCAGCCCATTGTCTTCGAAGGGAGGTAGGACAAAATATAAAAGATAAAAAGGGAGTCAAAAGAGCTACGGACGGAGACCCGTCCCGGGAAGGGAGTCTTAATAGAGGAAGTTTCCAATCACCAGGAAACCCTCGCACTGGCGGGACTGGGGGAAGTTTTCA